TTGAGGTTACCTAGTTCATTTAGCAGTCATGTCCATTCCAGTTACTTCAGGATTTTCCAGAGTAATTCAAACGTTCATGAATTTCAGATACGTGTTGTACTTCCATTCTATTCAATTTGGTCTTCGTGGTTGATTTGTCGAACAAATGTCTAATACTTATGCTTACTTGGATTCCTTAATTAATCCAAGACATTTACTTAATTTAGGCCATAAGGGTATTTTGGTATTTTGATGTTCAATTTTATTCCATTCATTTCAGAACTCGAGGATATTCAATCATTCCTGAGCTTGGTGATATTCTTGAGTCATTTACATTACAGGGGTATTATGGTCATTTTACAGATCTACAGTATTTCAATCTTTTCCTTCCATCCGGTCTTATTATTTAATTCAATCTTATCATTTACTTTAGTCCTTACGAACAATTCTGACAGCAGAATACCCCCGATAAATTATTCTTCAAGTATTTACTCATTATTCAGATATTTTCGAGTCAAGTCTCTTCTCAGATTTTACAAACGGAATATCATGAATTTTTTGTACAAAGACAGGATCTTAACAATTAAATTCTTACTTAATCGAGTTAAGTACAAATCCTCAAAGTACTTTCTCATTCAAGGTCAATTCAGACTATTTTATCTCTCAAGGGCATTTTCGTAATTTCTTAACCAGATAATTTCGATATTGGCTCTTAACGAAAATAATTATAATTTAAAGATCCTATGGTTAATTGCTTTCTCCAACATTCTCTAATCTTGAAAAGATTCATTAACAGACTTCTAGCATCTTGCTCAACTCCTCTTGGGTTAAAACCGGTTATCCAAAATATCCAAGTAAAACTAACATTTCTTATGCACCTCAATATTTTTTTATCAGATCAATATGTTTGTAAAAACCTCTTATCCAACTTCCATATTCCAATCTTGTCTTTTTATAACACAAGGGTATTTTCGTAATTTTACCCTACCGGAGTATTCTCATAATTCCTCATCCAAATACCTTTAACATTTAACCTTTGATGAAATAAATTATAAGTTACAGATCCATGTTGATTTCTTTATCACTAAGCACATAACTTGTAATTTAATTCTAACAATCCCTTAATTTCTTATAAAATTCATCTGAACCATAATCAATTACTGAACCTTTTTACCGTATTCAGATCGAGTGTAGAACTTCATTAATTACACATATAAGACCAAACATTTCCATTCATGCATTTACCAATACCAACATGTTCTATAAAGCATAAAGAGGTAGTAAAGTATTACCTCGATTTTCGTGCAATACTGATCGACCATAAAAATTCCATTCGAACGCCTTTGATCTTCAATTCAACTTCCAATAATTCCTCAGATACATAACAACATAAATTATATCAGAAAAGGAGCTTAATTGCAGTAAACAGATCGAATCGGGTGATAAATCAGTGAAAAACAGCTTACCGGGTTCGAATTTGGCGAAATGGACTTCGGATTCGGATTCAAGACGTCGAAAGCATAAAATATGACTTTTCAGAAATTTGGAATTTTCGGTCAAAATCGAAGTCAACAGGTTTGACCGGAAATTACGGGGCCTTTGGGTTCGAATTTCGAAAAACATACAGCGGAATCGGATTTGGAACGTCGAAAAATGTCAGGATAGGTATACTCGGTCGAAGTCAAAGGTCGTTTAATGCCCGGTCAAAGCCAGTCAAAGTTTTGGTCAACAGTGGTCAACGTCGGTCAACGGTCAACAGGTCAACGGGTCAACGGGTCGAGTCGGGTCAACTGGTCGGGTAAACGGGTCGGGTAAACGGGTCGGGTCGGGTTATGACCGGTCAAATCGGTCAATGGGTTACAAAACCGGTCAAACAGGTCATTTTTTCTTCCCCACGAGCAGTGGCGGCGCATGAACAGTTCTAAATTCCCGGAAAAATTTCTAAAAATTATTTTGAGCGATTTCGATATACTTACAAATCTCGGTTTACAATTTTGAACGGCGGAGAGCTCGATTTCAACAAATCGGAAACTTTGACCGCTTCACCTCCTCACGCGTCGCCGTCGACGGAGACAAAGGATGACACCGGAAAACTCGGAACGATGCAACGAACACGATGGTGCGGGAGGTGTCGTAAACGGATGACCCGATCGTCGTGAATTGATGAAAAACCAATTAAAACTGAGTTATTACCGACGATACTTCCGACTGAAATTAACGACGAACGGAGATGATTCACGACGAAAGGTTTGAGGGGTTTTGTTCCTCGGTTGACAACGAACACGATGGTGGTTTCGGCTCGTCGATCGGAGGTCGGACGGCGAGTAGATCGGAGTTGAAAGGAGGGTTGTTAGAGAAGGGAAAACTGTAAATTCTGCAGAAAAACAATCGGGGGAAGATGTTATAATTCATGCCTAAAGAAAAATGGGTAAACCATGAGTTTAGTCACTGAACTTCCTGTACTTCTTAAAATGGTCTGTCAACTTTACGATTTTATTATTTAATCCTCAATTTTCTTCCAAAATACCAATTAAATTCACCACTTTATAATTTCTTAAATTTAACCCCTAAATTGGGGTGTTACACATGCTATTTTTTATGAGTTCTCTAAAGATATCATCACGAATCTCATAAAATCGGTTCCACTTCACACTGATATAGACCAAATTATCAATTGTATTATGCAAGTCAATACATCACCCATAAAGACTATGAATTTGATTAAGAGTTTTGCTCTCATCATCCTTGCATGTTAACACTACTTACACCATAGGAGAGGCAAATGTAATTTGTAGTGCTCACCGAATCAATCAATGACTTGTTATGAACCTTATTCATGGGTTAAACAATAATGCAAGTTGGGTTACCATCATTGTTGATTTATTATATTGTTACAAGTCTCATTCTCATCGAAATTTCACTTGCTCATTTTCTCCCTAAGAGTTTAGTCGGAGGATTGGTCAAAATCATTTATAACTTGTCAATGGATATAAATATCTTTGCAACAACTTCATTACTAAATATATGGAAAATTTTATTCTTTGGAATGACTATTACCGCTTGACAATCACACTACAAGGGTTTTTACCTATTAGCTTTATGCCTATTAAAATACACACTACAAGGGTTTTTACCAATCACAATGCATGTACATCGAACCTGTTGATTTTGTGCCTAATAGAATACATGGTTGCTAAGTGAAGACAATTATAATAACATCATGGCTAATAAGTTCTGTCATTTTGATAATATCTTTTGATCTAGAAATACTTTTAAGGTTATTCCAGCGGGTAAGAAATTAAAAAACAAAACCCAACAAAATTGAATCAAGATTGAAAGTTGAGTAACTTAAATGTAAACTTCAAAATTGAGTGACCAAACTGTAAACTAACTAATAATTGAATGACCTCTTATGTTCAATTTACCTAAAAATAAATGTCAAATGCACACTTAGGTGATATTTGGTTCGCTGGAATGTTTATGAGGGAATTGGAATCTGTGAAGGAATTCGAATATGTCAAGAATTGGAATCCAATTCCATATTCTGTTTGGTTGGCAGAAAATTGAATTGGAATCCAATTCCATATTCTTTTTGGTTCGTAGACATGTCAGATGAATTTGATTTTAGTAATATAAAATGACAAGATTGCCCTTCTTATTTTTTTGCTTAATTTTAGTTTGTTTTATAAATTACATGTAGCAATATATTATAAAAATAAAAAAAATTAAATTTTAATTAATTTTATTGATTGATTATTCATTTCAATAAATTATAAAAATCATGCTAATAAACATCATAAGTTAAAATCATCCCAATTAGGGATGGCCATAGGTCAGGTTGGGTTGGGTTTTTGGTCCACCCGACCCGACCCGAGAACAAGGGAACCTCCATCCGAGACTCGACCCGAAAAAAATAAAGTTTCACCCGACCCGAATATATGAATTAGAAACCCAACCCGAAATAATAAAAAAATATTTTTATTCAATAAAAACAAAGACTTAATTGGAAAAAATATATATAAAGGGGTATTATTGTAATTATTAATAAATATATAAGGTAAAATTATATATTTTTGGGTCGGGTCGAGTATTTTTCACCCTAAACCCGAACCCGACCCGAATATCACACTTAAAAAAACCCGACCCGACTCGACCAAAATAAAGTTTAACCCGACCCGACCCGACCCAAAATAATAAAAAAAAATTATTTTTATTCAATAAAAACAGTGACTTAATTGAAAAAATTATATATAGAGGGGTATTATTGTAATTATTCCTAAATATATAAGGTAAAATTATATATATTTTTGGGTCGGGTATTTTTCACCCTAAACCCGAACTCGACCCGACCCGAATATCGCACTTTAAAAAACCGATCTGACCCGGCCAAAATAAAGTTTCACCCGACCCCACCTGACCCGAAATAATAAAAAAATATTTTTATTCAATATATGAATAAATTACTAAAAGATTGATGAGGGTAGTATGGTCAAATTTCAATTCCCTCCAACAAGGGAATTGAATTCCATCCATTTTTTGATGGAATTCACTTTCCCTCGTTTGATAGAAAGTTGAAGCCATGAGGGATTCCAATTCATTTAGAAAACTTGAACTAAACATGGGAAAGTGGTGGAATTGGATTCCAATTCCCCCTAATTCCAAGGGATTCATGCCAACCCACCTTAATGACGTAGCGGCTTCTTTGTTATGAATCGATAAATAGAAATGATAAAATTGTAATTTTTTGAAGTGCAATTACCAAACCATAAGCTTACTCATAGGTAATTGATCTATGATGATTTTACCCTTTTAAATTTGGCTAAAACCACCAGCCTCTTCCTTCTATCTACAATGCCGCCCAATTTTCATTTTGAAAATTTTGCCAAAATTCACTTCACTCCCAAACGCCAATCACCATTATATGCCTGGGAGATCCTTCATCACGGTAAAACCAAATCAAGCAAGCCCCCATTTCTTCCTCCTCCAATCTCTTTTGCTTTCATTGTTGAAATCCATAAGCAATGGTAGAGTCAAGAGATAGACTCATTAGAGCAGTTGATCTAGCTCAACTCTTCGTTCGAAGACTATTTGGAATCTTCTCAGATGAAGCTCGTGAGTTGTTAGTCTTCCCTGTCGTCACGCCTACACTGCGTTGTGGAGGGCGCCATAGGGAGAGCAGTTTTGTCACACCGAGATCCGTTGTTAGACATGGATTTCCGTCCATTGGAAGGGAGAACACTCCTCTGACAGTGACAGGGCATGGAAGGGGGCGAGGGACGAGCAGTGTGTTACCGTCTTGGTACCCAAGACCTCCTCTCAATGACATTACTGCTGTTGTCAGGGTACTGATCCATTTTTCTTCTCATTTTCTTTGCTACTTTTATCTTCACTTGAAGAGAAAAATTTACATAGTTTTGCTGATTAGGGAATCTTGAAATAATGACCATTCAACCGCTGGTTACTTTTATGGTTGGGGTTTTATTTCCATTTGGCTCATGTTTTAGGCAATGCGACTAGTCTGGGTGACCTTTGTTTCATTTCGCTATTTTAATGATTGCTGGATTTGCCATACTATACAAGCTACTTAGGCTTGAATGAGCTCCATTTTGCTTTCTCATATTTGGACTCGATTCATTCATTTGCCTTTACTAAAATTTTTAATTATAGTATATTTTAGATTTTCTTTTTATACTTTTTATTGATAATTTATTTTCGTGTCCTCCCCTACAATTTTAAAAATTCACCATCAGTCCATATCTTTAACTATTAGCACATGTCTCCTGATATTCTACGGACCTTCTTAGTGTCATAACCATTTTTTTTGTAAAACAATTAAATATTATTTTAAAAACGATTACGACTTTAATTTAGAAAATTGGTGATTATGAATTAATTAAAATTAAATTGAAAATGAGTCGCCATCGACCTTTGGGTTAGGTAGGTCGAATACCTAAAAACGTCTTTTAAAAACAATTTTAAGAAAAATAGTTTTATAAGACAAAAATTTGAACTACGTTACCAAAGATTCATTTAAAACAGGTTCGGGAGTCGGTTACGTGTGGGGAAGGATAAACACCCTTACAACGCCCAAAATTGGTACTGTGTCGCTTACACATCGTTGTAAATGGTGGAATTTATGAGTCGAATATAAAGTTAAAATGTGATCTATTTATCGAACGTTGATTAATTTGCTTCGAATTAAATAATTAGAGAAAATTCTTTAACTCGAAAAGAAATCTCGAAATTAGCAATCCTCCATCGGGAAAGCTAACTCGACTATTTCTCATCCATAAAGAATATTTCCCTCCTGATAAAATGTGAATCGAATATAAATAAAATTGACGTTTGCATACAACAAAATAAATTGATTAACTAAAAATATGAATTGAATACAAATTCAAATTTTGAAATTGACATTTACATAAAATAAAATAAATTACTATTTAAAATAACACACATTGCATCATTTGCACAAATTAATTAGTGATATATACTCGACTTGTTGCAAGTTCCTATGTCGTTAAAATGCCGTATCGGATTGCACCACTTCGACCAAGTGATATTTTCCACGCTCATTCTACGCATACGTGTTCTTAAAAGTATTTGGACAATATTCAAATAAAGAAAAATGGAAATAAATAGAAATAGAAATATGTGAAATAAATATTTACAACAAATAAAATTAAGCATATTTAATTACATATGGTACAAATAAATACATAACATGAAAAATGTACATACATAGGGGATTAAAAGAATGTTACAACCCAAAATATAATGGTCAAAAAGTAAGTATTTAATAATTACAATGACTAACATGGTAATAATAAATTAAAGGGCTAAAACAGAAAAATAGAAAATTAAAAGACTAAAATGGCAAAAACAGAAACGTAGGGACTAAAATAGTAATTAAACCGAATGCAAACTAGTGACTAAAATAAACAGATTTACAAATCTTAGAGTCAAATTTGAACATCAGCCAAAATATACAACATACAAAAATCAGTGACTAAAATGAAACTAATACAAACATTGTGGCCAAAGTAAAATATGAGTATAATAATATAACATGGGTTAAAATGTAAACATGCAAACATTGCAAACCATAACGCAAATAAAATAAAATAACTAAGCTTTATAGACAAGTGACTAAACTGTGTAAATTGAAACTATTGTATCAGAAACATAAAATAGAGAAACTAGATTAATCAATGGCTACAATAAAACAGAACAAAATCAGTGGTCAATTTTAGAATAAACAGAAACTTAAAGATTCAAACAGTAATTACACCAAATACCAAACAGTGACTAAAATATAAGAAACATAAATATCATGGCCAAATTCTAACATTCACAAGAAATAAACAACACATAACCAATGACTAAATTGAAATAATTATAAATACTATGGCCAACGTTCAACATTAATAATAATAATAAAACAAACAAGTACCAGACCAAAATACCAATATTGAAACATTAAGGCTCGAAATAAAATAAATATAATTTTATTTAATGACTAAACCGTGAGGTTACAAAGCAGAAAGGACTAAAAGTGGGATTATCCCTTTTAATATGAGAAACATGGGTAAGATGTTACAAAGATGCGAGGACCAAATAGGCTATTTACCCTTTCATGCTGAAACACGCATACCCTGAACCCCTAAAACGGCGTCGTTTCGGTTTGGAAATATAAGCCCAAAACCGGCTTATTTCCTTCCCCATTTCTCATTTGGTTTTAATTAATAAAACAGAGGGAGAGAGAGAGTTTCAGAACTCTCTCAACTCCCACGTAAGAGAAAAGAAATAACGCCGTCGCCGGTGGCGCTCACGGCGGCGACGATGGCGGCGCATGGCGGCCGGAGATGCCCAACAACCCTCAAAAGAAACATCTCAACCCCTACTACTCAAAACCCCACTCCACTTTGCCTAAACACTACCCCAGTCTCCTAAATCTACCGATTTACCTCTCGAAACAACAAGACACGGTGACCTTTGAACTCCTTGCATGCCTTCGCCGAACCTCCCTCCTCGGTAAGCTTTTATCTTCTCCCTTTTTCTCTCTGTTTTCTTTATATTTTCTTTTTTTTGTTCTGAAAACTCCCCCCATCTCATTTTTTTTCTTTTCTTTGAACCCCCTCCTCCCTCTCACCGAATCCTCCTCTCCCTCATAATGGTTGCCTATTGGACTTTTAAGGGTTTTTTCGGTGATAATGATATCTAAGGCTTAGGGAAATTATGGGTTGTTGATTTAGGGTGATTGAATCCCGGATTTTCGGGATTTTCGGGATTTTTTATTTAGATTTATTTTTGTTTTTTTATTGGGGTTTTTCTCTGATTTGCTGATTGATTTGGTATGTTGTCACTGTTGACTGCTTGAGGGATGGGCTCGGGAAGCTTTCGAAGATGGCTCGTCGACTGGGAAACTGGACGGTGTAGTGCACGCGTGACTGAGGAAACTGGAACTCACTGGCGGCAGTGGCTTGATGGCTGTTGGCTTGAACGGCTACTGGAACGTTGAAGAGGCACGACGGCTGGATTGGCTTAGGGTTGTGAAACCCTATTTACCATCGATCTGGACCGTTGAATGGGTCCAGATCGAATGGTCTATGTTGGTGCGGCGCTGGGATGTTGATACCCTAAGGTTAGGGTTTGCAATCGGGCTGCTGAGTGATGGGTATGGGCTCGGGTCAATTGGGCTTCGTTTGTTGGGCATGGGTTGGCCTGCAAAACAGTGTAACATGTAAATTGTAAGTTAAATAATAATAATAATAATAATAATAATAATAATAATAATAATAAATATATAAATGATAATAATAAAAAAGACCCGGACAAAAACGGGTGTCTACAACTGCCCCTCTTTGCACATTCTTGTGTTAACAAGAATAGGGTAAAGACGACAATACAACACGTTTTTGTCTGGTTCTCTTTCTTTCCTATAGATTGGATATGCGTGTTGGTGGGGACGACACTGCTCATACGTGATGAAGAGTTCTGGTCGTCTAAGGGTGATAACTTGGTTCCTACTTGATGAGGACGGCTGGTTATCTATGGTTGACACGGCTCCTACGTGATGAAGAGATCTGGTCGGGGAATGACACGGCTCATACGTGATGAAGAGTTCTGGCCATCTAAAGGTGATAACACGGTTCCTACGTGATGAGGACGGCTGGTTATCTATGGTTGACACGGCTCCTACGTGATGAAGAGATCTGGTCGGGGAATGACACGGCTCATACGTGATGAAGAGTTCTGGCCATCTAAAGGTGATAACACGGTTCCTACGTGATAAGGACGGCTGGTTATCTATGGTTGACACGGCTCCTACGTGATGAAGAGATCTGGCCATCTAAAGGTGATAACACAGTTCCTACGTGATGAGGACGGCTGGTTATCTATGGTTGACACGGCTCCTACGTGATGAAGAGATCTGGTCTGGGGATGACACGGTTCCTACATGATAAGGACGGCTGGCCATCTTTAGGAGTTATGGTTTCAAGAGAAACCAAATTAAAGATTTGTTTCAAAAGAAACAAACCCAAAGATTTGTTTCAAGAAAAATAAACTCAAAGATGATGTTTTTAAAAGCAACTGTCTCAAAAGAGACAAAATTCGTTTAAAGGGAATTGATCTCAAAGATCAGTGTTTCGAGAGAAACAAACTCAAAGATGTTTTTGTTTCAAGAAAAACATACTCAAAGACTTTGTTTGTTTTGTTTCAAGGGAAACAGATTCAAATGATGGTAAAATTTGTTTCCAAAGAAACAAACTCAAAGATTTTTCTCAAAGAAACTGTCTCGAGAGACACAAAATTTTGTTTCCAAAGAAAGAGATTCAATGATTTTTTTTTTTTTGAAAAGACATTGTCATAAGAGACAAAACTTTGTTTTTCAGAAAATGGTATCTTAGTGAGACAAAATTTTGTTTCCAAAGAAATAGACTCAAAGATTTTTCTTCAAAAGAAATTGTTTTAAGGGATAAACATTGTTTCCAGAGAAACAAGCTCAAAGATGATCTTGTTTTAAGAGAAAATGCTTCAATAGAAAATGTTTCAAGTGAAACGACTCAAAAATGGTTTTATTTCAAGTGAAACAAACTCAAAGATTTTGTATTTCTAGAGAAACTGCCTCAAGAGAGTCAAAATTTGTTTTAATAAAAACAATCTCAAAGGTGGGTAGTTTTAAAAGAAATTGTCTAAACGATCTCAAATGTGGGTATTTTCAAAAGAAGTTGTCTCGAGAGACAAAATTTTGTTTTAAAGGAAACAAACTCAAAGATTTTTTTCAAAAGAAATTGTCTTTAAGAGATAAAATTTTGTTTTTCAAGAAACAGACTCAAAG